CGGGGGGGGGCCCCCCTCGCCCCCCACCTGCCCTTTGCCGGACCCCTTGTCTTTGCAGTGCACACAGCCCATCCTGGGCACAGCCTGTGGGACAGAGGGACTGTGAGCCCCGCGCCACCCCGGCAGGGCACACGTATGTGCACATGCATGTGCACACGTGGTCCCCATCAGAGGCGCTGGGGTGCATGTGTGAGGCCCTGCCCACCCCACCCCAGCCCTGGGAGGAGTGGGGTCCTGCCACCCCCTGGCACAGCAAGTTGCGTGCCTGTGCTGTGACATGGGGGCACCAGGGTCCCAATGGGCACTGCCACCAGCAGGGACCAGGCTGTGAGGAGGGCTGTGCTGTCCGGGGGACCCTGTGCCCCCCCGGCACCCATGGATGCTCCCGTTCACAGCAACCCCACTCACTGTGACAGCTCCTCGTGTCACTTCAGCTGCTCCATGTCACCTCGGGGAGGAGAAGAGGCACCTGTGGACACCGGGGCTGGCATCAGGCAGAGGGCAAGAGTCCTGCACAGGCTGCAACACTCCTGCCATGGGCTGAAACACCCCTCCAAGGGCTGCAACACCCCTCTAAGGGCTGCAACACCCCTCCAAAGGCTGCAACACCTCTGCCATTGGCTGCAATACCCCTGCACAGGCTGCAACGCTCCTGCACGTGCCGCAACACCCCTGCATGTGCTGCAACGCCCCTGCACAGGCTGCAATACCCCTGCACAGGCTGTAACACCCCTCCACAGGCTGCAACACTCCTCCACAGGCTGCAACACCCCTCCATGGGCTGCAATACCCCTGAATGAGCTAAAACACCCCTGCATAGGCTGCAACACCCCTGCATGGTCTGCAACACGCCTGCACAGGCTGCAACACCCCTGCACGGGCTGCAACACCCCTGCACAGGACACAATACCCCTGCATGGGCTGAAACCACATCCTTGAGTGGGTTTTGTTCCTGCCATGTCCTCCACAAACTGATCACCTCCCTCCAAGGGGAGATGCATCCCTCGGCTGCCCCAAGGCTGGAGGGAGCCAGGCTGGGTGGAAAGGGGCCCTCGAAGCGTCCCCGTCCCTTCTGCTCAGCAGGGGAACTGGTGTCTTGGGGGAGGAAGGGCTCTGTTCGCCTCACTGCGGTCAGGGCTGTGCTCTTCTGGTGTCACAGCGAAGGTGTCGTGGAGGAGGAGGAGGAAACCTGACCTCACCCTCTGTGGCTGCAAGGAGACATTTCTGTCCCCAGCCCTGTCACCTCCCCTGGGTGCTGGCCACCCACCCACACCAGTCTGCCCAGTTTGGACTGCGCAGAGTTTTCTAGTTGAGGGCTCTGCAGCGATACAGCAGAGCTTGCCCCGTCTCCAGCCCAAGAACGGAGGGAAGGTGCCGTGAAGCCGTGCTTCGCCTGGCAACCATGTCCTGTCCCCTGTGCTCTGGAGAGCAGGATGAGATGGAGGTTTTGGGGTGGATGAGACGTTTCAGGCGGGTTTCCCCATCACGGTCTTTGATTCACTTTCCTCTCTCTGGGCGGGGGGTGGAAAGGGCCTGGCTCCCCCCCTTCCACCTTCGCTTTCGACACCAGCAATGTGGCAAGGCTGCGGCCGTTGCAGATGGGGCAGCATTGCCAAATCCAGGAGGGCTTGGCTGCTTGGGGTTTTTATTTTTGCTGACAATAAGAGGCTCTTTCAGCTGACAAACATCCCCAGCTCTCACAAACCCTGTCCCCTCTGGGTGGGAATCACCTGGCCTGTTGCCAGCATTGCACTCAGAAACTTCCCATTTTGCTGAATTTCTGTGCCGAACGTGGTGGCAGTGCTGCCACGGCTGCCGGCAGGGATCAGGTGGGCAAGGAGCATCTTCTAGGCAAGCACAAGCCCCAAATATCGCAGCACCATGGGGTTTAGCCGCTGCTCATGCCGTGCCCAGCTGCCATGCAGCAGCATTGCACCCATGCTTCCCCTTCTCTGGGCACCCACAAAACCCCCAAGCTGGTCCCTGCCACCTCCCAGCCAGGCAGGGTGGCATGAAAACCATCTCCTTGTGCCGTCCTTGGGGAGGGGACGCAGCCAACCCCATGTCTGATGGCTGCGCGCTGGTGCCTGGTCCCAGCTCTCCCGAAAAGGAGCTGCTTGGAGCCTGGGAGCAGATGGCAACTGAGCCCTTCCCACACTGTCTCCACCGGCACAGGTCCCGGCCAAGCTGCCACCTCCTGCCCCGCTCTGAGACCCAGCCAACTCGTCACCCCTGCCACTGCCCCCACCCCACCGGGCATGGCTGGGTGCGATGCAGCCGCATCCCCGGCCGCCTGTCCATCTGCTCCCTGGCCCCCTGGGACATGGGGCAGTTCAGCCCCATCCCCAGCTCCCAGCTGGAGCGCGATGTCCCAGTGCACGCTGGTGTCACCCTGCGTGTCACCTCCGGTGCCGACGCACCCCGTGGGGATCGCCCCCATCCCCTGCCTCCATTCCCCTCTGGGGAATAACAGTGATGGAGGAGTCAGGCTCTGGGGGGGTGCAGCCACATGGAGAGATATGGGTGCTGCTGGAAACGTCACGCACCCAGTGCCGTGGGGACAAGCCAGGGTGGCACTTGCCAGGCTGAGGATGGGTTCCTGGCACCCACGCGTGCCATGGCTCCCCAGGGAGCATGTGGGTGGCAGAGGGGCAGCTGCTGGAGGAACCCGGCCGGCACCTACGCAGCAGGAGGAGGAAGCAGCAGGAGCACGGCATGGGGGAGGAGGGGGAGGAAGAGGATGGTGCTGGCAGGATCCCAGGCCTTGGGGACCACGGCAGCCGGGGGGGGCCAGGCAGGGACCACAGCGGGGCTGAGCAGTGGCTGCAGCCCCTTGGGTACCCTGTGCCCCCCCTCATGCCTTGTTCCTTCCTCCTCACCCTGCACACCCCTGTCCGAATGTGGCCCGGCATCTCGGTGGCTCTCACCGCCCTGCTGCAGCCTCCCCAGGGGAAGAGGAACCGAGACTGCCGCAAAGCCCAATCTGGAGCCTGCCTGGGCTCCTCCATCACCCCATGGCTTTGGACCTTCCTGGTCCCAGGGAGGGAACTGAGGCACAAAGCAGCTGCAGCGCAGGAGGGGAAGGTGCCTCATTAGGACACACAACACCGAGCTGTGTCCCCATCCCGTGCCCAGGACTCCCCCAGACCCAGGGAGAGGATGAGAGGACACATCCTGCCTCTCCACCACGTGCTCCTCGGACCGGTGCAGTGGCAGATGGTGGCATGTCCCTGCTCCTTCCCTGCTGCCCCCAGCCCTGAGTCCAGCCCTGCAACCCAGAGCTGGGGCCCTGGGGTAGAGCTCTGCTCCTGCTCCAGTCCCTCCAGTTCACCCAGTGCCTGGTGAGTCCCCTGCAGCTCCCAGCAGAGCATGGCAGCCCCTAGCTCAGCTTGGCCCTGGTGGGAGCAGGTTCCCCAAGGACAAGGGGTGCAAGGAGGGACAGGGAGGCTCCTGCTGTGGCTGGAGAGACCCACACCACAAGCATACGGCTCCAGACCGCCACGAGACACGGGGACACCAGCAGAGGCGGTGGGATGGGATGCAATGCTCCGCCAGGAACATGCAGATGGGGTGACAGCTGCAAGAGGATCCCCCAAGCGTGGGTTTCCTGGCGGGGCGTCCCACCCTGGTTGGGGGACGCAGGGGGTTGGAAGCACCAGCTGTGCCTGTCGGCAATGCGGTGGTGGCATGGTGCTAGTACTCTCCAGCGGCGATGCCTTCAGGGACACCCCTTCCCCTGCCGGCCCGTGAGCAGGGCAGGGTTCAAAGGGGGAGCTGCTGGCCCCCAAAACCAGCTGTGCTCCAGCTGGGCATGGCCAGTGCTCGGTTGGCATCGTCCCTGTGCCAGCCCCAGGAGGTGGCAGGGCACTGCCCCCCCGCCAGTACCCCGGAGCAGAAGAGGAAGGACTCGCCACCCCCCAGAAGTGATCTGCCCCCGCAGGCCCACCCGCCAGCAACCAGGCCCGTGGCAGGGGGTGTCCCCTTGCCCCCTGCCCTGGGAGGAGATGCCCAGGGTGGAGGGAGGCTCCCCCCTGGCCTCCCAGCCCCATCGCGGGCCGGGAAAGCAGGATTTCCGCTGGAAGAAGAGCAATTCCCGGATCCGAGGGGCTGCAAGGGCGGAGGGAGGGAGCCAGCCAGGGCTCCAAATACAATGTCTCGGGAGGAGCGGGGCGGGGAGGGAATTGTGCAGGGCAGGAAGCGGCGAGTTCCTGTCCCTCCTTGGGACACACCAAGGACCGGGGACGAGGCAGAGCTGCAGGGAACGGGGGGAGCACCCGCTCCAGCCAGGGCCTGAGCCCCCTGCAGCTGCCCCCAGCCCTGGCCAGGGAGAGCTCAGCCCCCAGCATCCCCTCGTGAGCGCTTGCTGGGCTGGCAGGCCATGGGCAGCTGCGGGGCTAGGGGGAGCAGGTGTGTCCCGCCCCCATCCCGGTGTCCCCTGGGGTGCCCTGACCTGCCCCCTCCCCAGTGCTCAGGTCCAATGCAGGCGAAGGCACCATTTGTCTGCGCAGCCTCCCCACCGCGGTGTCGCCGCCGATTAGTGCCGGGAGGGCGAGCTGGAGCTGGCGGCTGCCCCCAGCCCTCCCCGCACCATGGCCCCGGGCGTGCTGCCCCCCCGCTGACCTGCTGCCCCCCAGGACAGGGAGGATGGAGGTCTCCTACCCCCCCTCCAGACTCATTGCAGAGGCTGGTGTTGCCCGGGGGGGAACGCTGAGGGCAGGACTCAGTGGCAGCCCCTCAGCAGCCCCCACCGGGGGCACGGGGCCCTCTGTCCCTACGGATCAGTACCCCATCCCACTCCAGACCCAGAGCCACCCAACGCATGGGGGGGCAGCTCTCAGCACCCCCCAGCACACGGCAACAGGATTGAGAGACACCCCTCCTTCACTGCAGGGAGCAAAGCCCACCACCACCCTGCACCCCACGCCCCATGCAGCCCCATGCATCCCTCCTACCGTCAGCCCTCCTGCTCTGGCTCGCATGGACCCCTGCTCCCACGCTGCCCTTGGCTCCCGGTGGGACCGCAGGCTGGGGTGCCACTGCAGCACCCCAAACCACCTGGCGCTGGGGGCTGG